CTCGCGGGCAGGAGATGCAGGCTGGTAGTCCCTGCCGAGTACCTGGAGATGCTGTTCTGTGAGCCTAGAGCTTTGAAGGCACACATCAGTGCTTTAAACGAGGAACGAATAGCATGAGTTGGAGGCCTGTGTGAATAAAATGCTGTATGAGAGACTTCATGTGCTGTTGTAATGCAAGGCTAAGAGGGACGAATTGAAAGCTGGCTCTGAAATAAAGTTTTCAGGGGATGATTAAATACTGGAGAATACTTTAACGTGTGCAAAAAGCTAGACATCTAGGGTTCAGTTAAGCTTGTTTTTTCTTCCAGCTAGTATAGCCCAAAAAGGCCACTTTGAGGAACACTATTTGTTATAATGACTGGTATCAAGGTCATCATTGCTGTGCTAGTTGAATGTGTGCATTTAAAAAATGTATGTACATAGGAGCTATGAAAACAAAGTAATGTTTAAGTCTTTCATTTCCATAGGCTTATCCTATAATGTCTCCTGCAAAATGTATCTAAATTAATACAGAAGTCTTGTATGTTTGTTTTTGTGTCTGTTTTCTCACAGGTATGGTGACTATCCCAAGCTCCCTAATAAGTCTCTCCATGAGAGAGACCCCTGGTACCAGTGGGACCAGCCAGACTTAAGGCATAACTGGGGACAGCCGGTAGGAATGCTAGTAGCGCTTTTCACTGCCATTATAATGCTGCTGTTACTGAATACTCGCATGCACATCTTGTTCGTGGTTTCTGCTTAATTCTTTCTGTCATTGCTTACACAAGCGCAGGTGTGTGGTGTGTGTTGCCTGAGCAAACACAGACAGTCAGTTGGAGGGAAGCTTAGTCTATGGCCATCAGGGTAAATATTCTGAAAGTGCTGAGGAGTCTTAAAATCTTATTACATATAGGAGGGAGACTTTACAAACTCAAGTTTCTCTGTAGGAATAGGAAAGTCTCATCCATTTTCTTTGCCTGACCTGACTTAGTGTGAGAGCTTAGTTCAGGATCATTTAGCAAAGAAGCCATCTTTTGATTAAAGTCTTTTTTGTACAATGGAAGTAGCTATTGCTGCTTTGTTACCCCAGGGTTGTTTTGAGCTAGAATACAAATGAGGACGCTTTCTCTGAAGAAAGTTTGCAAGATATCCTTAAGAGAAAGGGATGAATAGAGCATCCACGTTAACTTCCAAAACCTCAGTCCCTCAAAATCTTTGTCAGGAGAAACTTTTCAGTCAGTGCATAGTCTTTCTGTGAATGACTGTCATCTAACTGTAATTGCTGAACTTGGTAATTGACATCTCCTTAATGAAAGTAGAGATTGTGTAAGCATGTGCATGTAATATCATAGTATAAACGTGCAAGAGCATCATAGCATGTGTACCATGGTAAAGTTTAAAGTGCATGTTGTAATGACTGTAGAAGCACATGAAAAAACCTGTGGTGATTCTGTGTTGTTGTGGTGCTTGGTACAGGAAGGCTTGTATAGCGGGTTGGCAGTGTGGGACCAAGTGGAATATACTGGTGCATCCCAGGTGTCAGCAGATGCCTCTGTTTAGGTGGTGGAATTCTGCTCGGTGTGGCTCTCTGGGTTTGATAGCAGATGGCTCTGTGTGCGGAGGAGAAAGCTGGGGAGCTAGGGACAGTACTTCAGCTCTGAATTAATGAGTTCTCTGCTTTCATTAATGTGAAAGGAGACTATAGGCAGAACATGCTTAGAATTTTACTATGTATACTTCAAGGCAGAAGCTTAAACGCCCTCCTGCTTTAGTCAGGAAGGGCATTAGCTTGCTACCAGCTCTGCTCTGGTAATGGAGTAGCAGTGGCAGGTGCTCTACCTGTTTTGAGGAGCCAGTTTCCAAGTGGCAGGTGATTGCTTCTTTGTTTGAAACAGTGCTGCTACTTCTGTTTGGGTGTGTGACTGAATGTCTATAAGTTTATGCAATGATTTATACAATGATTATACAATTTATACAATGCCTTTTCAACAGTGCTGTCGAACAAATATAAGGTGGAGTGATTACGTATATAAATAAAAGCTGCTGCTATCCTATAATTAGACATATTGCCTCATATAAACACAGGATGGAATTGGAGTCCTGAGTTTTATGTGACAACTTGCTGTGACTGTAGGTAGATCACTTCTCTCCTTTGTGGCTTTATTGCCACTTGGGAGGTCAGAATGAAACAGCTTCTGTCAGTGCTGTGAATTTTATAAAGCACTTCTTCCCTTGGTAAAAGCATCTTGAGCACTGTTGGTAAATGTGCTGCCATTTTCCTTTGTTATTTAGATGCACTGGGACTTTGACATGTATATTCGGAACCGTGTTGATACATCCCCCACTCCAGTTCCCTGGCACACCATGCGCAAGCACTTCCTTGTCTTTTTGAGTACCATGCTGATCATGTTCGCTCTTGGAGAAATCTATCCATCTTACAGGCCTGTGGTGAGTGACACCCTTGGGAAGAGGGAAGAAAAGTAGCTGTGTTTCTTGTCGCTGCTGATGCCCAGAAGAGCG